CCCCCCCCCCCCAACCCCCTTAGGCCTTTGGAGACAGTGGGATCTGGGCATGGTAAGAGTTTCTGGAGGAAGAATTACCTTTCTGGTCCAGTCTTGTGGAGTCCAGTTAATAGTGTAGGTTTTTCCAGAAGTGGTAACCCATTATATATGTTTCCTCAATCTCTATATTATATGTAAATGTTAAGATTTTTTTGTAATTATAATAAATATGCAAAAGTTGCTTTTCTTAATCATGAAAATGCTAGGAACAGGGAATCTTGGTCTTCATGCAGTTGGTGGAAGCTACTTTACACCATTTCACTCTTCTGCCTTCTCAGCTTCAGCTTTTATATATAAAATGAGATAATGGTATAAACTCCCCTCCCTTGAAGAGTCAAATGCAGTATATCACTGCTTTGCCCCTTGCTGTGTCTTCTACAAAACGAATAGTAGGTGCAGTTTTGCCTTGTCTTGCTATGGAGTAGACTGTTCCCAGTTAAATCCTCAAAGTATGTGAGAATCCAGTGATCCCAAATATTGTAGCAAGGAAAAAACGTATTTGGAACCAAAGCCTTCTTTTGGATTCACAAGTGCATTGTGTTGGGTGACCCTTTCATGGGTATGGTTTCCGGGATCTGCCCACGCACGCTTCCCCCAATGGTCAGAGACAGGGCAGATTTTCAAGATGGCTGACTGGCGTCAAGGGTCATGAAGAGAGAAGTGGTTTTTGTCCAGGACTTTGGACACTGTATCTTTGTGCCCATAACTACTGAGTAAATAGATACAACATTAATAGCAGTTGGACCTGGAATTAGCAATAAGAATTGCCTTGGTAAAACCTGGGCTAATAGTGTTTTGATTCACGAGTTAGATCTTGCTTTTTCATTCTGGTGGAATAGAACGGCTAAGTCTAGACAACGTGAACATTTTTTTGCTTCTTTTATCATAACAAATATTTGCAAAGATTATGTTTCATTTAAAAATCATAATCTGTTGGGTGCCTGGGTGGCTCAGTCAATTAAGCAACCGACTTCTTCTCAGGTCATGATATCACAGTTCCTGAGTTCGAGCCCCACATCAGGTTCGCTGCTGTCAGCACAGGGCCCACTTCAGATCCTCTGTTCCCCTGTCTCTGTCTCTCCCCCACCCATTCTCTCTCTTTCTCTCTCTCTCTCTCAAAAAGAAATAAATACTTAAAAATAAAAATAATCTGTTTTGTTGATTTTTTTTTAGTAGGCTCCATGCCCAACATGGGCTTGAACTCAGGACTCTGAGATCAAGTGTCAGTTGCCCCACCAACCGAGCCAGGCAGGAACCCTTAAAAGTCATAGTCTTTTTAAGGTGATCTCATTGAGAAAAAATAATAACATCTGTAGCTTGGAAGAGGTTAGCAACTTTACAGGGCATAGATTCTGAGGGTCATTTAATTCCAAGACCTAGGTGAATTCCAATCACCTGAAGAGAGTTTTTAGAAATCTAGATTTGGGGGAAATGTGCCTATGAGATCTATTTTCAGGAAATATCCCCAGATAACTGTTTGGCATTGTTAAATCTAATCTAACAGCTTGCTGCCATTGTGATTGATACTCTTCATTTTTTTTTTTTAATTGAGGAATTGTGGTAGAAAGACAAGACAGACCAGAGAGTTGGTTTCAGTTGGTCACCAACCAGCAGTCTGTCCTTGTGGGAGTCCCTCATCCTTCCTGAACCCAAGTCCCTGTAATGATATTATGGCTCCCATGGCTCCTGGGTGCCCTGAATTAGGAGGTTGGTTGGGCTATAATAACATTAGTGAATGGAACACCTCTCTGTGAAATTGTAGCCTTCACTGTATGAGGCACACGTAATGAGCCAAGACAACAGAAGCATAAATGGGCACATGATTCAGCTTGTGAACCTTTTTAATAAAAACTAATAATGATAATAATAAATAAAAGGAAGAAAACTAAGATTTGATTCCAAAAACTATAACCTATATTTCTCAACCTTCTCAATTTTTGTTCCTATTTATTCATGAAGGTGATTGAAAGTCTTCATTTTAAATGTTACATGCTTCCTGTGTGGATTTGTTTTGTCTATGATGAGAGAACTTTATCTCTTAACTTCTCAATATCCTGGGTAACTCTGTTCTCCACACATGCCCATTGTGCTCAGCTTCATGCTGTTCCCTTCGTCTAAAACCCTGCCCTGATCATCTCCGTGCCAACAACCCTCAGGTCCGGGACAGGCATCATCCCCTTTCCAGGTTCGGGCACTCTGTGGTCATTACTTGGGTGTGTGTGTCTGTGGCCTCCTTCCCTCCCCTGATCTGTTTGACAGTTGCCATCACTCATCTTTGCATCCACAGTGCCTGACATCTAAGCATTATAAATTTTGAACTCAAATGAAATCTCCATTTCTGAACATTGTAAAGTACTTGAATTGTCATATCCAGTAATCTAATGATGATACATTTGAACTGTAGTCTACCCCCGTCAGGAGCACTGGGATTGCCTTGAGCCTTTTACTTTGATGACAGTAAATTGGGAGAGGCTTCCCTAGCGTCCAGTGCTGGAGCACTGCTGGGACACTGCTGAGGCTTCTAGGGTGTCTCTGAGCACACGTGAGCCTTGGGGACTATCTCAGTCACTGTTGTTTTAACATAGCCTCATGTTCTTGTCACTTGCTCACTTTGCCTCCAAGTCACCCACTCTGTGTCGTATTTCTATTTGAATGACTTTCCGTGGAAGATACTATACTTATTCTGCCCCTCATATATTACACACTGAACACTGGGGACATTTGGAAGACTAAATGGGCCAATAATGCATTCCTGTTTTCTAAAAAGACAAGGTTGAAATGTTAACTGAATTGTTTCTAGTAATTAAGTGGAAAAAAAATCCCATTTCACTACCCCTTTAATTTTTTTTTTTTTAATGGATGCAGTAGAAATCTCTGTTTTTAGTATCAACTGACAGGCTAATCTCAGAGTTCTCATCTGCCCTGCCCTTTCTTGGTCTTAATCAGGCCACCCTTGATGAGGGAATTTAGTCCTAAATTTGAACAGATGAACAGAAAAGGCGGGGAAGGTTTATAAGGATCTCTGCAGAGCTATCTAACCAAATGGCAGCCCCGGAGTTGGCTTTGGATCTGAGTGATGCAGATTGTGTGTTCATCGGAGCTCCAGCAGCGCCTCTGGCCTTGCAGGGTCCATCCACCCTGTGTCTTGGCCTTCTGACAAGCAGGGATAAGCCTCTGTGTGCAATGCAGTGGAGCTGGCCGACCCGGACCCAGAGCAGGAGAAAGGAGGCATGCTTGTGCTTGGCCCACCCCGCTGAACTTGAACTAGCCACCTATTAATCAGTAGAGCTTACGTGCAAATGCAGGACTCTTACCTAATAAGTTGTCCTGTTGGTTTGGCTCTTTCGTATACTCGATATTCGTAATTCTCCAAGGAAAATCTTCACCCCCTTTTTCCGTTTTTGTCCAAGGAATACAGAATCTGATTTTTATGCCATACCCAAAATAAATAGATGTATTTTTTGTTAAATCAGTTTTAAATGCAATTGAATACTGATATCTCATGTTAGCATAATAGTGTACCATGTGCTACCATACTAGTATTGATGTGTGTTAGTAATAATATTTGTTAGTATACTTGTGCTAGTCTATGAGTAGCACAAATGTGAACAAATGTTTATGTATATGTATACATGTACATACATGCACTCGTGTTCACCTATGTATGTATATGGGAACTCTAGGCTCCGACACTTTATGGTAATTACTTGTGTGATTGGTCTCTTTGAAGATAGAAGATATGTGTGTGTGTGTGTGTGTGTGTGTGTGTGTGTGTGTGTGTGGTTTGAAATTGATTAAAATTAGTAGGCTGATTCAGATTTTAATTCTCTAAATCTCAGTGTACTGTACTTTATGAAGTACACTGGATGTTATAGCCAGGAAAACCTCGTTTAAAAAAAATATGATTTAGGTTGTGAAAATTCTTGATCTAATACTAACCTTGGTTAAAATGTATTTTCTTTTTTAGGTGAAGGCATCCTCTTATTACAGCCTGGAAAACATGAATTTCCATTTAGCTTTCAGCTTCCATCTGAGTAAGTGAAACTATTATTTTCATGATTTTCTTTCTCCGCAGCATGCCCTGCCAGATGTGTGGGTACCACGTACCTGCTGACGCTCCGTTACACCCACTTATCTTGCATTGCCCCAGAATAGACTTACCTTGTTCACACTCTTGGGTTTTTTTTTGTTTGTTTGTTTGCTTTTTAAGCCAAAACCAACATTTTAAGGGTTTTTTCCAGTTGTGTGTAACTGAAAGATGAACTTATAAGTTAATGTCTTTGGCTTGTTTCAGACCTTTAGTAACCTCATTCAGCGGGAAATACGGAAGTATTCAGTACTGCGTGAGAGCAGTTTTGGAACGACCCAAGGTACCTGATCAGAGTGTGAAGCGGGAACTTCAGGTTATTAGTCACATCGATGTCAACACACCAGCATTATTAGTAAGTCCTTCCTTCTTCTCTTCCCCCTTCCCTCCCTCCCTCCTTGCTTTCAATTGCGCTATGTACATTGAGCCAGTTTAGTGGTCGTCTGTCCTGTCACTTTCTGATAGAATCTCGTAACCCATGGGCATTCACTCTAAATGTGTGATTCTAGGCCGGGCAAATTACAAATTGTGTGTGTTAATACTATTGATTATGTCTCCGTTGTTCGGGGCTTCTTTTGCCAAAAAGTTATACAGGCTTGAAATGCATTAATAAGGCTTAATAATAATAATGCACACACAGAGAGTGGTTACTTTTACCAGAGCGGCCACATTCACAGGGCTGTGGTATTCTAAACTCTTCAATAATAGCAGGTTGAGGAACAGTAATTATGGAAGAGTATTAATCATGCTCAGCCTGTTATTGAAGCTCAGGCCATTATGCTATGTATCCTTCCATTTTGCATGCCATTTTCTAACATTAAGTAAGTGCACGCAGCTGCTGTGGGGAGCCTTTCACTTATCATTTCCTTATGACAGATTTGGCCACATTAAAGCATTGAACTTCTAATAATCACCAGAAATACTGTAGGCTGATAAGAAAGATTAGGCTATAAGTAACAACAGAATAGGCAAGATGGGAGCTAATGAGCTAGATTCTTTTATCTAAACCCATATTATCAAAATAATATAAAATTATACCTTGTACTTTCATGATAGCTATGAGGACCTAATGGTTCTTCATTTAAATATGAATGAATGATTTTTTTTTTTTTTTTTTTTTTTTACTTCCTGGAAAATACTGGGATAATTTAAACTTTCCATCATGATACTGATGTTCCAAACATGTATGTTTAGTATCGGGGGTTTCTTTTTCTGGCCAATGTTTTTAAAGGGAAAAAAACGGGAGTTAAAAGGTGTTTTGCTCTGTTTTCATACAAAAACTGAATAGACTTTACGGTTTGTTCACTTTTAGAGTGTGAAAATATAACAGTTATGCCCTGGTCGCATGGCCCCTTGTGGCCAGAATTCTAGAACAGCCAGCACCCAGCTGACCTGGCTCACAGCTAGTTACAGCTGAAACTTACCATCCACTGACCACTTTTTTTTTTTTTTTTGCAAATTGACAGTACTGTCTTATATTTTTAAAAACTGCTTGAAATTGGGAAATTAGCTACTTCTAAGCTATTCATGGGACCACGGTGGCAAATGATTTAAAGAGATTTTATTTTTTTTTGCCAGAAAGAGAAACTAGTAATCCTTTAATATTCTTTTATAAGTAAAAAATGTTGCAGCTTTGGGTTTTACAATGAGCTTTTGGTTTGTGCATCTTTCCAACTGAGCATCTTGAATCTTGAGTCATTTCCATCGATGCTGTGGAGTAGAGAGCAGGGCGGTATGTTCAGTAACCCTGTGGATCCATGACATTGGGTTTATCTTGCTGCTGTTACGCTAAAACCCAAAACATTCTAAGTTAAGGGCACTTGAAATTTCTGCCTACTAATGTACTTTTGAATTCAGGAAATGAGACTGTTTGCTTGTTCTACAGTTTAGATGCCAAAACGAGTACAATGTTCTGATTATTGATTTTTATACCATTTCTCCTTTTCCCTAATACACACGTAAGGTTTTTAAAAGAAAAAGTATCAGGGCGCCCGGGGAAGTTCAGTTGGTTGAGCGTCTGATTTCGGCCCCGGTCATGATCTCGCTGCTGGTGGGTTCAAGCCCCACATCAGGCTCTGTGCCGACAGCTCGGAGCCTGGAGCCTGCCTCAGATTCTGTGTCTCGCTCTCTCTCTGCCCCTCCCCCACTCGCGCACTGTCTCTCCCTCTCTCAAAAATAAAAAAACATTAAAAAATTAAAAAAGGAAAGAAAAAGTATCTCTGTCATGTTAATAGTTATGACTACAATTTTTGATTACTACTTTAAGGGATGTTAAATCATTTTCCAGAAACATAATGATTTACAGGGTAAAACACGATGGTGTCACCTAATGTGAGTCTGAGAATTCACCTTAGTTTTCCTAAAAAGAGAATTTTTTTTATGCTTTGTGTTTTACTTAAGTATTTTGCCTAGTCTGTCACATGAGGATAAAAGTGTTGATTTGTTTTTTGGAAGACCTTTCTTCAGTTATTTAATAAAAATGACACGATTTTAAGTTCTGTGAATTTTCTGCTAGTTTTATTAAAGTCATGTTATTATTTGAAATTTTCAAGACCCCTGTATTGAAAACTCAAGAGAAAATGGTTGGCTGTTGGTTTTTCACTTCTGGTCCAGTCTCGCTGAGTGCCAAAATTGAAAGGAAGGGATACTGTAATGGTAAGCACAACGTTTGAAAGTCCACGTGGAAGAGTCATTCATTTTATTAGCTAATTGCAAGTGATTTTTAATAGTGTGTTTTGTAATTTACGAACTGTATACTGTTTTAAAATGTGAATAGTACGGTTTTCTGTTTTTCACATAAATAATTGATATTTAAGTATTTTTGAGTGGATGAGTAGATTCCGTCCAACTCCTGGCATTTTTGACTTCAGTGCTTTCGCTTTAGTGACAAAGTCTAAAATTAGAAGCCTGGGAAAATGCCAGCATTTGACTCGATGTTGCAGCAGAGTGTCCAGGGCGGTGTTGCCCAGAAGAGCACTGTTGTGTGAAAGCCCCCAAGTATAGGGGGCTGCGATGTAGACCGTGAACAGTCTGAACAGTCAGACTGCCACCGGCGTGACCGTTTGTGAAGGGTCCGCTCCCGTACAGTGGCGTTGGCCCCCACTCCAGGGCTCTGCCAACTGGAACCCAACGTGGTACGGGATGGTGTCATGATGGACGTGTAACGCGGATGTAAAACTTGCTGCTCCATCCACTGTCTTACCTGTGCCTGAACATTAGTTACTTAAAAACAAAGTCTTTGCTCTCCTGTTGGCCGGGTTTTGATTTGATAGGCACTAGTGAGTCCGTCAGTGATCTTTTGTACTTTATACACCCCTGGGCCATTTCTTGGTGTGTCTTAATTTTTATAGATATTGGCCATTCACATGTCTTTAGAATTGGTAACCTGATATTGCTACGTTAGACAAGCAAAGAATGCAGTAATTAGAAAGCGGCACCTGCCGTGAGCTGCGGCGATTCCTCAATTCTCTGACGCGGATTTACAGTACAAGCCTCCCGTCAGAGGTCCCCTCATGTGAAAGTGACTTTGTGACATTGCAGCTTTAATTGGTAATGGCTCTAGTTCACCGCGGGGAGGGCTTTCTGAAATGTCGCTGAAGGTGTTTTTGTTTCCTTTTCAGGAGAAGCTATTCCAATCTATGCGGAGATAGAGAATTGTTCCTCCCGCCTCATCGTTCCCAAAGCTGCCATTTTCCAAACGCAGACGTATTTGGCCAGCGGGAAGACAAAGACCGTCCGGCACATGGTCGCCAACGTGCGAGGAAACCACATCGCCTCTGGGGGCACCGACACGTGGCATGGGAAGACTCTAAAAATTCCGCCTGTTACTCCGTCCATCCTGGATTGCTGCATTATCAGAGTAGACTATTCCTTAGCTGTAAGCAGGGAGCTTATTTTTATACATATATATATTTTAAAGTGTATTTATTTTTTACTTTTTAATTTAAAGCCAAGTTAATTAACACGTAGTATAGTATTGGTGTCAGGAGTAGAAGTTAGTGATTCATCACCTACATATGACACCCAGGGCTCATCCCAACAAGTGCCCTCCTTCATGCCCGTCACCCCTTTAGCCCACCTACCCCCCCGCATCCCACCAGCAGCCCTCAGTTTGTTCTCTGTATTTAAGGGCCTCTTATGGTTTGTCTCCCTCTATGTTTTTATCTTATTTTTGCTTCCCTTCCCCCGTGTTCCAGAGTGCTTTTTTAAAATGAAAACTATGTAGAACGGAGCAGTAACTGATGCCATGTCCCCACCAAGCATGTACATTTAGCGGCTGACAAAATGTCACTTTACACCAGCATTCCGACAGGCTGGAGTGACGAAGACTGGCCTTTGTCTGTAATCCAAACCTATCCTCCTGAGGCATTTAATTAAGTCACATGAAAGAGTTAAGGTGCATGTAGGGGGCTGGTTATGTTGAAAGCACCTACTTCATTTTCTACAATTCCTATGTGTAGGGCATGCTCCCTTATGCTGAAGGATGTTAAGGCTATGGTTCCCCATCACAGAGCATTCTCTCTATTTCGTGCGCCGTTCATTTGGTTTGTTGTCCGTTGCATTTGGTCAGGATGATTTACAGTTGTATGCGGGAGCGGTGGCAGGCAACAGAGAGATTTGTTTGTGTGAAAAAATAAACTGGTCCATCTACTATGAGGTTTAACCTATATTTTGCCTTTCTGTCTCTCTTTTTTGCTGTTGTTGTTTTTGTTTGTGTGTTTGGCATATTAGGTGTATATTCACATTCCTGGTGCTAAAAAACTGATGCTTGAGCTGCCCTTAGTGATTGGCACAATCCCATATAACGGTTTTGGGAGCAGAAACTCCAGCACCGCCAGCCGGTTCAGCATGGACATGAGCTGGCTGACGCTGACGCTGCCAGAGCAGCCGGAAGGTACGACGGTTTGAGGAGCTTTGAGTGCGAAGTTCACACATAGAGTAAGAGCAGGCGGGGTCAGGACAGAAGTGCTCAGATGACCATTACTACTGCTGTTCACAGCGGCCCCGACTCTTCCGGGTTCTAAAAACTAGAAAACGGTGTTCCTGGAAGGGACGTGGAGAGCTTGGCTTATCCAGGACGCAAAGCTGCTGATGGCAGAGCCAGGAATCAAGTCTTCTACTCCCGACTCCCATTCATTAGGAGTAAGACAATGAGAAAATGGTCCAAGTACGTGTAGAGTGCGTGTGTTTTCTGCAACCACGTCTACGTGATCTGTTTTGCCTGCACTGTAACATCCACCTCTCGAAATAGAACATAATCAGTGTTCGTAGTGATTTCACAAAAGCAGAATTGATTAAATATGTCTTGTTGCAATAAGCACAAAAACTCGCTTACTAGAGCGGGGATAAAAAAAAAACCATTGTTTTCACATTTAGCTACATTTCTGGTTTTGGTAAGAGTTCGGGAGATTAACGTAATTGACTTTGCACGGACTTCTGAGATCCAACTCCATTTTTGTTTTAGCGCCACCCAATTATGCAGACGTGGTGTCCGAGGAAGAATTCTCTCGACACGTCCCTCCTTACCCTCAGCCCCCTGACTGTGAGGGAGAAGCATGCTGCCCTATGTTTGCCTGCGTACAGCAATTCCGCTTCCAGCCTCCCCCTCTCTATTCAGAGGTAAGCAAAGCAAAAGAAGATGAGACTTCTGCCTTGCTGTTTGTAAATAATCCTCCGTAAGTATCTGCTGCTGATTCCTAATGAGCAGGGGATACATAGTTAAAAAATTTCTCGGGTAACGTTAGATTAGCCCTGATCCAGTCACCTCATTCTGTAACGGTTGCCTTGTAAACTACAGCAGGCACGTCGCGCACCGTGGATTGCCTTTAAAATGTTTTATGTGGCCATAGAACACGGAGAATTTAAGTGGCCCACTGGGACTTCTTATTACTGATAGGCTTTGAGCAGCTCAGCTTACAACCACCAATAATTAGAAACAGATACCAAGACCCTTTGGAGAGTGCTGGGATAGTAGTCTTAGTGTCTTGGTCTGTTTTTTCAGGTTGATCCTCACCCTGCTGATGTAGAAGAGACCCAGCCTGTGTCTTTCATTCTCTGAAAAAATTCCAGAAATCACTGTGTTCATCATCCGATTAGAATGTTGGTTCTTCCCCCGCTGCCTTTATGGAAAGAGGGAGAGAAGATTAGGGGAAGGACATACACGAACATCAAGATTGAAGGTGATAGAAATTGAAGGATGCATGAACTTTCCAGTGGGCTGACAAGAATGCGTTGCACAAATGTACGATAGGGTCATGTGTCCCCTTTAAATGATCCAATGAAGATGTGACAAGTCACAGAACGTAATGGAAGTCCTGGTGGTGAGAGAGTAAGTGAAGGGTGTCTGCGCTTGACCCAAGAGAACAGAATCCATGTGGGTGGTGGAAACACTAGACGAACGTACCTTTAAACAGGTTTCTCCAGGTGGAACAGAAGTTACCCTAAGCTTTAAGGAAATATGGACTCGTTGGGAGCCTTGATCTTGAAGAAGGTAGCAGCACAGAGGTGTGTATAAATAGGAAAAAGGTCCACTCTAAATACGAAGTGACCCTCAACATGTCAGGGTCTTCATGATTTCTCCCCAGGTCCCATAGAACTGAAGTTTTTGAGAGAATCTTTTTATGAGGTCCTAATGAAGGAATACAGTTTCATATTGTAAATCAGCTGTACAGTATTATGAAACCAAGAAAGAGTTCCTTGCAAGGCATGTCTGTTCAGAGGGGAAAGATGAATTTCAGTTCAAGAACACATTTTGTGGAAGGCTGTACTTTTTACCCCCTTCAAGTACTCTGTTAGAGTATGTGTTTGATTTTTCCCGTGTCTTAATTACCTAAGATCATAGTAGAAAAAGAAAGGGGGAAAAAAGAAGGTTGCATCCTCAGGATACCTCGATAACTACACAGAAAAAAACCAAAACAACAAAAGCCTCTCTTAACCTACCTCTAGTGGGGTTATCAGAATCCTTTTAAAACACCAGGCGTGATAAGCCTTCCGCGGAGTTCCTGCTAATTGGCAGTCCCAATCTTATCTCGCCGATCGCTAAATCCGCAGGTGGACCGAGGGAAAAATCTATAAGATTAGCATTAGATGAAAGTTAATAGATGTATACCAAAGGGTATTTCGAAATAAATGCAGAATCAAAAGAGGGTACAAATTTTGAGGGTACCATTTAAAAAACAAAAACAAAAACTTAATTCCTGCCTAGAGACTTCAGTCTACTGACGGAAGTCACCACGCTGTACGTTATTATTCCAACTCTTTAGTAATTCTATTTAAACTGTGATTTTTTTTTCTTTATTGTCTTGGTGCAATATTTTATTATCATTTAACCTCAGGATATTCCGACCGACAAGATTGTGTTGCTGCTGAAAGTCTGAGCAGTGTTCTTCCTGTCCCCCTGTTCCCCATTCTTCCTGGTCACGTGCTCACTTGCTCGTCCTTTGTTAGTTTCGTGAGCCGAGAGCACCCCGGACACCGCATGGAAGGGAGGTAGGGATTCCCGCGGGAGAGATTTTGGACCAGCCAAGTACTTTGGTTTTCTCCACGTCCTACGGGTTCGACCCAGAAACCCTGGTGCTTCCATGCAGAACACCACACTTCATTCGCCAGAACGAGTCCTCTTTTCTTTCCGTCAGCCTACATTCAGTCACGAGTGTGAAAGCTCTTTTTCTAAGGTTAAGTTTTGTATTTAGAGTTAGTTGGCCCTCCGATCAGGGATTTTTCTACAAGCATGAGGTAGATGCAGACTTTTCACCCTTCCGGACATACCTTTCTTTGTAATCACGTGAGCACCTGCAGCAGGTTTTTCTCACCGTAAGCCACTGTGTAAAATCACAACACACAACTGTTACACTGATAATGGTGGTACCGAAATCGTCACACCCCGTTCATTCCCTGCTTTGGTTTTTACTGTGTTGTGGGGTTTTTTGTTTTGTTTTGTTCTTGTTTTGCTTTGTTCTTGGTGTGTTTTTAAGCAGGTAACGTGTACTTAAGTGCTGTCAGAACAATTTTGCTTTTACTTTAAAAAACAAAAAAAGGCCACCTTCAGCCGTTTCTTGACTTCTGAGTTGTAGTTTACACGCCTTGTCACGATACCAAAACACAATGATACCAAAACACAGTGAAAGACACAAAGCGAAAGGTGTGAAGGAAGAGAAAGTCGAGCTGTTTGGCCCCACGTGGAAAAGCCAAGTAGTTGACTCCCAACTGCTCCGCACGCTCCTTCACTAGGATTGTTTTGTCACCTGTATTAGAGAAATCATGAAACGTGCTCCCCAAATGAAAGCACAGCTGATGTCGTAGCACTTAACAGAGTAGCCGAAAGGGATGATTCGCCTTATCGAGTTGGTATCCGCCCATCTGACCTTAAGCAGTAGGTTGAAACTGCATACCTTTCTATAATCAAGACATTATTTTCCGAATGTAGAGAAGTCTACATTGGAACGGAGTTCTTGGGAATGAAGATAAAAATGCAGCTGCTATTGCTTGTTTATTCTGTTGTTTAGTTTGCAGAGAAACCGTGGCCTTAGAATTTTCTTTTTGATGCAAACATTGTGACATTGAAAATGTGCATCTTCGGGCACACAAAATCCTTCCGTGGGCGGAACTTTAATTTTGATGTTTTTGTTTTGCACAATAAGAAACTCAATAGGCAGGGGTTTTGTTTTTGATAAGTTAACTATGAAAGCTTTTTTATTTTTATTATTAAAAATGTAACAGTTTAACCCACAGGAAAAAAAAAATAAAGATTGTATTTTGTACTCTGGTTTGAACCCCATGGGTTCCTTTTGTTAATAAAATGATGACACTAATGCTGTGAGGTGCTGGGTTGTTTTTTGTTTTGTTTTGTTTTGTTTGCTTTATTTTTATAAGATTCTGACCTAAATTGTTACAGACATAGGGGGGAGAGTCAATACCACAAGACCAAGTGTAATTGCTGTAAATTAAGATCCTTTTGTATACGCATATGGTCACCGGGCCGGACAGCCTGGGGGGATCCTGAGCCTGGTTTTACAGCGGGCTCCGTTTCCCCCAGGTAATCCGTTTTTAGCATTCTGTGAAGAAATGTGGTTGACATTTAGAGTAAATAAGCCTAAACTATTTTGGTTGTTGAGGGAGTACTACCTTCATTTGTTCCCAAATGATAATGGCTATTTTTTAAAGCTTCTGGAGTTTTCATGTTTTATGGGCCACGTGTTTCCCCAGTGGAATCTGGTGGGCTGCTGGTGGACGGATTGGAAGGCACTGACCCAAGCAAACCTCCCCTTTCAAATGGGTAAAAACCGTGCATTTTGTACAGGGAATATACAGTGGCATATCATCTCAAGAAAACTCCCAGACCCTCTCTCCTGGAAAATTCTCAAACTTAGCTAGGTGGTAAAGCCCAGGTAATTTACTCTCCCAAGTGTTTATAATCTTGTTAAATAATAAATAGGTCGTTTGTGGATCCTCATTTGCAATCAACATAAATCGAGACATTTGTCTCCTGCACTAAATACTGAGGCAAAATTTGTAAGTTCACCGTTGAAGTTTCTGCAGTGCCTTCTGTAAAATGGTGGGTTCCAAAATTCAGAACTAGGCAGACAATCACAAAGAATCTGGGACAAAACCCTCATATTACAAATGAGGATATCAAAACCCAGACGTGTGACCTGAAAGTCTGACCTACATTTTTCTGTAAGATCTCTGCTCATTCTAAAATTTCCTGATTCTACTACTTTAATAGAAGTCACAAAAACAGGAATTGCTTTAAGTTACACGGCTTACGACTCACTCACAGAACCGGATACTAACCATATGCTAATCAAGAATCAGGGGAACCTGAGTGACTGAGTCCGTTAAGCATCTGACTTCAGCTCAGGTCAGGATCTCATGGTTCGGGGGTTCAAGCCCTGCATCAAGCTCTGTGCTGACAGCTCAGAGCCTGGAGCCTGCTTCGGATTCTGTATCTCCCTCTCTCTCTGCCCCTCTCCTGCTCATGCTCTGTCTCTGTCTCTCAAAAATTTTTTTTAAAAAGGTAAGAAAATTAAAAAAAAAAACAACAAAAAAAAAGAATCTTCTGTGTACCTATCTAAAAGCCCTGCCTCCTGAAAGGACAGGAGTCCTGGACTAAATTGCTTCCTAAGTATGTTTAATTAGTAGCTGAAACCTTTCCTTCAGCAGTGGCATTTGTTTGTAACTTGATATTTTGAAATAATTACAGAGCCACAAGTTGCAATCATAGTACAGAGAGATCCTGTGTCCCCATCACCCAGTCTCCCCCAAAGGTAATCTCTTACATATATTACCCAGACTGGAGAATTGACATTGACACATTCCACACAATTAACTAGAATTCAGGGCTTGCTTGGATCTGGCCAGGTTTTGAGTGTAGTCATTGTTCTTGCAGGTGTTTGTGTGTGTATTCCGTGACATTGTATCATGTCTAGGCCCGTAGCATCACCACCATCACTGCAGGGAAAAACTCCATGGCTGCAAAGAGACCCTCAGGCTGCCCCTGTGCAGCCCTTGTCTGTGATGGATCTGCTGTCCCCTTCCTTCATCCCTGATGGATCTTTTTCTCCATCTCTATCATTTTGAGAATGCTAGAGACATGGAATCATTCTGTATGTACCTTTTCCATTGGCTTGTTCACTCAGGATATCACCCTTAAGAGCCACACAAGCTGGGGGAGGCGGGAGGGGGCGCCTGGGTGGCTCAGTCTGTTAAGCGTCTGATTCTTGGCTTTGGCTTAGGTCATGACCTCAGGGTTCATGAGTTCAAGACCTGTGTAGGGCTCTGCACTGGCAGCATGGAGCCTGTTTGGGATTCTCTCTCTCTGTGTCTCTCTCTGTCTCTGCCCCTTCCCCCACTCATGCATGCACATCTCTCTCAAATAAACTTTAAAAAAATTCATGCAAGAAGTATTGATAGTTTTGTGCCTGTATGTTTCAGCTGAGACATTTTGATATTTTTTTAATGTTTATTTATTTTTGACAGAAAGCACACAAGAGCGAGGAGGGGATGGGGCAGAGAGAGAGGGAGACACAGAATCTGAACAGGCTCCAGGCTCTGAGCTGT